GAAGGAAGGAAGGATGGATGGATGGATGGATGGATGGATGGATGGATGGATGGATGGATGGATGGATGGATGGATGGATGGATGGATGGATGGATGGATATGGGCAAGAATGTGAATTGCATTGCATCCAGTATGAACAATGAACTCTCTAACATAATGCAGGCTGCAAGTCAAATTGCAACATAGGCACACTAGTAGTTCTACTGGAGCTGTTCCAGAGCAGGGCTTTGATGTTGCCAGCCCAGCTGAAAGCCAGTTTGTTGTTATGATCATTGTAAAGGAGATTATAGCTTAGATGTTACAGTGGGGGAGGGATTTACCTTAGAAGATGATGGTGTGCACAATTCTGTGTTCTTTGGAGAAAGTCAGTAGTTGCTTTGATTGTTGTGATATTGATGTTTTTGTTGATTAATTTGTTCTTCATCTGTTTGCAATTTGTCTTTTGCCTGGCTTAAAGATGTCTGTTACCCAACTGGAGCTCTTAGTCTTCAGGGATGGATGGATTTCCATGGGACAAACAAACAAACAAACAAAAATGTGTTGCTTAAAACTCTTTACTTTCGTCAAATGAATGCTGGTTGTTGCTGAGCATCCCGTTTTCCTTCCTCCAGATCCTTATGAACGCCACGGTATTTGCAAGGATGTCTCCAGGCCAGAAGTCCAGCCTTGTGGAAGAATTTCAGAAACTGGAGTAGGTGGCTTGGCCCAAGGCAGGGAGGGAGGGAGGAAGTGGGGCTTTCACACACATGCACACACACACACACCAAAACCCCAGGATGTGTTTGTGGCTCTCCTAGGAGGGAATGGGGGCGCGGTAAGAAGTGACAGGAGAGGTGACACCTGAACGCCATCCCCCGGTTCAAAGGACTGTGCATAAGTGTGTGTGTGTAAAACCAACCATGTGAAGTGACCACACACCCGTGTCTCTCTTTTTCTTCATGTGTCTTTGGTGGGAGGCTGGGAGTGCCCCCACACTGCTCTGCACATAAGCATGGGTTGGATGATGAGTATAAAATGTGTTGCATCACAGCTGGTTCATCCGTGTCTGATCCTCTGCCGGAGATTAGCTCCAATTTCCTTGTGGCCTCAAAATCTAGGCTAACAGGATGACCTGATCATATGTGGCAAGGCGGAAGGAGGATGTGTGCTGCTTTCTGCCTCAAAGTTGGGGAGCGGCCCCCAAACACCCCGTCCCATGGGTTAGAGGGAGCCCCGTTGCAAAAAAAAAAAAAAAAA